CACTGAGCTAAATTCCGGGCTTCACATTCTTGACTAGGATTATTCCTAGCTATTTTTTGTTGCTATTGTGAATGCAATTATTTGGGGGATTTTTTTTCAAAACAGGTTATTGATGTATAGAAAAGCTTTTGATTTTTATATGTTGATTTTGTATCATATGATTTTGTTGAATTTATGAGATCTAAAAGTCATCTGATAAAGTTTTTGTGGTCCTTTATGTATAGGATCATATCATCTGCAAATACAGATAATTCGACTTCTTCCTTTCCCTTCTTTCTCTTGCCTAATTGCTATAGCTAAACTTCCAAGTGCTATATTAAATAAGAGTGTTGAGAGTAAACAACCTCATCTCTATCTTAATTTTCAAAGAAATGCTTTCTGTTTTTCTCTGTTCAATTTGATGTTGGTTTGGTGCTTATCATTTATAGTCTTTACTACCATGAGGAAGATTCTTCTACATTTAGTTTCTTCAAGGACTTTATCATGAAGGGATGTTGAGTGTTGCTGAAGGCTTTTCGTTCATCTATTGAGATGATCATGTGACTTTTATCTTTTTTACATATTTTTTTCTTTTTACATCTATAGCATTATTGTACACGCAGGCTAAATACAATGTATTGTATGACTTCCATCTGCAGAATTATATGTTCTCTCATTACCATTTAAAGGATAAATCAGAACTTTTTCAGCCTAACTCTCTTGAAACTGTTATGGGGGTCACTTACTAGGTTGAAGACCACAGGAATCATCGTGTTTGACCTACCAGTAGGACATTAGCCTTTAGTGACTTTATTTCATTTATTAGTGAAAAACCTTATTAACAAAATAAACCAGTGACCAAAAAATCATGAAGAGTATAAATTTGTACCCATTCTAAGAAGACAGCTAAATACTCACATAGTTCTGACCACAAATCCTTACCATATGTCTTTTCTATATGTTTCTTTTGTATTTAAAATTATGCTCTATCCAATACTCAAAGGCATATAAAGATGAAAACACTCCTCTTCAAGAAAATCTTCTATTTGTAAAATGTTGTGTTGATCACAGTTTTGTAGGTTTATACATTAGAGTTATTTCATTAAAACAGAAGCTAATGCAAACTGATCAAATAATAATATTAAGACACTCATGTTTTCTGATGTGGTAAAAGCCAGAGGTCTGTTTTAAAAAATAACTACAGAAGACATAGCTGACCTTTCCTTGTAAGAAAGGATGACATCTGCTGTTGGCACCTCTCTACAAAAGAAGTGGGAGGCCAAAATCAGCTTCAACTTTTGCAAATTAAAAAGTAAACTTCAGACTAGTGGGTTTTCAGTACCACTCCTTAGTGAGCAAAAATTTTCTGCCCCATAAAATTGAACTGCTTCCTGAAAACTGACTCCTTTAATAAATTATAACATTAAAGTAAAATAGTAATTTCTACAAAACAATCCCTTGCTTCCTGATGCTCATAGAACTGATTGCATCTTTTTTTTTTTTTTTTTTTTTTTTTTGTACCGGGAATTGAACTCGGGTCCTTGTGCGTGCAAGTCAGGCCACTGAACTGCTGAGCTAAATCCCCGGCTCCACTGATTGCATCTTTAACGAAACATTCCATTTAGTTCTAGGGGCCAAAACCAAAAGGGATGCTGAATATTTTAAACAATTGTTAAAGAAAAGAACAATTAATAGCAAGAAAAATCAAATGAATCTTTGAGCAAACTAGAACATTTTAGGAGAAATAAATGTTGCACTTCAGCAAACACAAAATTGAAGGACTGGTAATTGTTCTAACTTTTCAGAAGGTGAGCAGCTACTTTCAATTGGAATAAAGATCAAAAGGAAACCATGAAAAAAAAGTGAGTGTAATAAATTTGTAAGGTGGTGACTTCTGTATTGACTTTTGCAATCACTATAAATTGACTATATTTTCAGTAATTGTTGAAATATAGTCCTTTTAAAATGTGAAAGTCATAAACACATTGTTGATTTGAGCCTTCATAATGAAACTTGAAGTAAGTTATTTAGGACTGAAAAAAAATATTGAGAAGGGGAATAGTGCAAGGCACTTGAAGTGACAGCCATGTATAGGCAAAACTAGTGACAGCGCAAGTGATGTACTATAATTTGAACTGTGAAGTCATTTGAAATAAAGGCAGAGTTATGAGATTGTGTAAAGCTAACACGTTAAATTTGGTTCTATAAGCAACGTGCCATCAAAAAAGAAATAGTACCTTGGCAAGTGTGTACGAGCTGAGTAAAGTCAGGAGAAACATAATACTGATCCTATACGCGACTAGAACTCACAGACCACATCTAGGTGCCAGGACTGACCTAAACATTTTCATATATAATAACCTGTGAGATCCTCCCCATGAGGCTTTGAGGCCAATCGTGTTGTGTTATCTCATTTTACGGAGGAGGGAACTGAAGCAATTAAATCATGTCTGATTGTGACAGGAAGCATATCAACCTCCACATAGGTAAATTCCAGCAAAATACATCCCATTTTCAAAACAGGTGTGGCTTATCCAGAATATTCAGACTTCCATAAAACATACCTTGTTTTTAAGAGTTTTTATTATGGAAATTGTCAAATATTTGTAAACGTAGAATATACTCAACCTTCATTCACCCCACTGCCTCCCCCATACCCATCTTGATTTATTTACTACACCTCCATTCATTTCGCATACCTCTCTCCCATTATTTTTGAGTAAATCGTGAACTGAATATCATTTCATCATCACTAAATCTTTGAGGGGGTGTCTTTTTTACCTTCTAAATATGATCACAATACTATCAGGGAACATTATAAAATAACAATTACTTAAGATCAAATATCTTTCAATAGAGTTGTAATAATTTATTTTGCTTTAATATTTATTAAGAACTTGCAAAAGAAAAAATTTGCGGGGCGGTAGCATTAGGTGTCTTCAGACATCCTGGTTCCTTGAAATTGCTGCTATTTAAACTGCCTCTCCCTCCGCTGAAAGGAACAAGTCTGGCCCTGCTGTACGACGCAGAGCCTGCGCAGGTCTCCAGCCACCTTCCCGGTAGGGCGAAGGCTCTGCGCCCCGGAATCTGCTTCCCGGCCCTGTGTTGCTGGCCCCACCCCCGTTGCCTAGGCGACGACGGCCGCTTTCTTCCCGGGACTTCATGGCGACGTCCACTGGGAGTACCCCTGGGGCGACGACCCCGGGAGGGATGACCCAGACTGCAAACACGCCTCTCTCCACATACACGCACACACCCAGCTGACCCTGGAGTGCAACGCGAGTGCCTGAGATTATGAATTGTATAAATTCCTGCGTTGGACTGGTCCATTCCAAACAACCTCACAGCCATGCTCCTCCCCCACCCCCAGTTTTTTAAAAATTAAAAAAAAAATTAAGCAGTGAATTTAGATTAGGGTCAGGGGTGCTGAGTTACAACCCCCATACACGCACACACCCAGCTGACCCTGGAGTGCAACGCGAGTGCCTGAGATTATGAATTGTATAAATTCCTGCGTTGGACTGGTCCATTCCAAACAACCTCACAGCCATGCTCCTCCCCCACCCCCAGTTTTTTAAAAATTAAAAAAAAAATTAAGCAGTGAATTTAGATTAGGGTCAGGGGTGCTGAGTTACAACCCCAGCCCCTTTTAATGTTTTGTTTTGTTTTTTGAGACAAGGTCTCGCTAAATTCTTAAATTGCCAGAGAGGGGGGGCTTGAATTTACAACCTCTTTCCTCAGCTCCCCACAGTGCTGGGATTACAGGATCTCAGGTTTTTAATGGGTCCATCCCTGTTTGAAATTGCTATTCATTAATGCTCACAGTTGCAATTACGCAAAAGGTGTTACTGAATAATAACTATTCGTTGGTTGCTTAACATGAGAAGACCTGGCTTCCTTATTTGTTATTATTTTCCCATTTCTCTGAATACATAAATACATGCTAGAAGACAGGACAAAGGACAGTAGCTAGAAAATCACTCTTGTCACTAAGGCTAAATTCCTGATTACCAGCTTGTCTTTAGGAAAGTCATTTAAGCTCTTCGGATCCTAGTGGGCTCCTTGTGTAACATGAAGATATCTTCAGGTCCCAACCAAGACCAACTCTGAATAATAGGTTTTAGGTAACTTTACTCATAAAGTTACTATCCTGAGATAAAATTACATCTGTCATACCAAACATTACCCTCCAAAATGTATAAATCTCCACACAGAGTCTATCATAAATTACTTGTAGAGGAAATTTTCTTCAGTTTTTTAAGGCTCTAAGGTGAATAATAATGTGTTAATTAACATTGCTTTGCTCAGCTATTAGTATAAACAACATTTTTGTGTGCAGAAGATAAATATTAGCTACAGTCTCATAAATGATGGAATGCAGAGAGCCAGCGACTGCTTCCACACGCAGAGGCCATTCCCAATCCAGATACCTCCCAACACAATATGCAGGCCGCTAAGGCGTAAGATTCTCATATGAGCCTTTTGAAATAAAATTAGCATGCATTAAATGCACATTTTAATGTGATAAACTGATTTCTAAGCCAGTTATTCCCTTGTGATCTCTAATGTAATACAATTTCTGAAGTAGCATAGGAAATTTCCCAATTAAATTGTGTTATTTAAACATGTATAAAAATGCACCAGAATACACAGTTGTCAGTGAACACATACACATACTTATCCAGGTAGAAAATATATTTTTAAAGAAAACTGATAATTTGGGATTTTAATGAAACTGTATTTGACTTTTTTAAAATTAAAAATTTAAGATATTGCGAAGTACCAAGCTTTACAGAAGAAAAAAATAATACCACTCTTTACAATGGATGAGTCAATGAATGAACTATTTATGGGCCTTATGTAATTATCGTTTTTGGACTGATCACTTCCCTATTTGTTAAATTCTTGGAGCAGTTGTTCCCCATTATGTGCAATTCAGGACATGCTCGATTTTTTAGTTAGGAACAAATCAAACTAATAAGTTGTAACGTGGACTCACTCGGTAGCACTCATTTCCTAAGATGATACATTAATTCACTGTGGCACAAACTACATTGTCCACTGTAGTGAAGGCTCTGAGAGGACAAGCAGTGGACGCATAGAGCGCTGTCATCCAGTGGAATGGTAAGTCTTGCCTGCCTCCCATTCCTGCTGACTGGGGAGCTCGGGTCAGACAGAAAAGATGACAAGGCTCTCTTGTAGTCTATTCCTAAAGCTGCCACTGTTTAGCGGGACACTAAAAGGTTCTTAGATCAGATTCTTTCCAAAGTCGATCCCAAGAGGTAGTTCCTAATAGTATCATTTCAAATAAATCTTCTGTCTAAATTGACTTAACCAGAAGACTGTATAGTCAGCTGAGCCAAGTAATAGTGAAATATTTCTTTTCTTGCCAAATCTATCAAAAATAAAGCATAAGCTTCTAGTAGTCTGAGATTTCCCAATTGTTGGAATTTGCCAACACCTAGAATAAAAGCAAACGATTACCCTAATCATGTAGTAGGCACTCAATAAATTATGATAACTAATTAAAGTCATGGGTGGCCAGAAATATTCCAGGAGAGGTAGTTATTGTAGATTAAATTCTACTCAGATTCTGTGAACAAGCAAATATGAAACATAGATCCAGGGAAATATTTTTTTTCTGTGATTTTGCATAAGCTTTACTTGCCAACTTTCTGATTTTGACTTTCCAGTTTCTTCAGTAACATTAGAGAAAATGCTTCCCTTTAAAATATAAGACTAAAATTTTGGCATTTATCTGTATGAATATATAAAAACAAAAAAGTCGGGCATGGTAGCATACACTTGTAATCCCCAGCACTTCAGAGGCTGAGGCAGAAGGATTGCTGTGAATTTGAGGCCAGCCTGGGCTACATAGTGAATTCAAGGCCAGCCTGGACTACAAAGTGAAAACCTCTCTCAAAAAAAAGAAAAAGAAAAAATTCTGAAAATAAAGGTTTTGTCTGTACAGACTTATAGTGAAAGTTTATGTGTATGCTTAGAATTTAGTGACCATCTTTTAGCCATCTTTTTTTCTTCAACTTTTTTAATATTTTAAAAAGTACTATTTAGGAAATAGAATCATTTAAATAGTATATTTATAAGGAATATGCTTCAACTCACATCGGAGACTAAAAGAAAATGGAAAAGATTATCTTTTAATTGCCTCTTAATAATCCCTCTTAATGTCTTTGGGAGGTGTTTTGTTTTGTTTTGTTTTCAGTACTGATGATTGAACCTAGGGCCTTCACACTCAGCATCATCCCCAAATCTTTATTTTTTCCATTTTATTTGGAGACAAGGCCTAAGTCAATCCGTTAAACTGCCCACAAGCTGGGTTGGAATTTGTGTTCCTCCTGCCTCAGCCTCCCAGAGGGCTGGAGTTACAGGTGTGCACCCCTACACCCAGGTAATAAACTCGGGGTACAACTTGAGCAGTGTGATGATCAGGTTGCTGCAATTTAAATATCACTCTAGGAGCATTTCTTAAAATTATGAATAATTTATTGTGAAAGCAAACAGTATGGCCAATAATGTAGATGAACCTCTGCAGGCTATGGGATGATGCAAAACAAAAATATATTAATGCACCACAAAATGTTCATGCAGTAGTAGTATTTTTCAGACACTTAGGGCCCCTGAAAACCTCTGTGAGAGGTATGAAAGGATTGACAAATATTTACGCTTGTCTTTCTTACTGTTTTTCTTTGGGCTTACTGTTTTGTTTAAAAAGCCATGCCCTTCCTCTGCCTCTGTCCTCTCCCTTGGGTGGCTACACATAATCATAGATATCTTTGGAAGCTTTCCGAAGTTTTATTTTACTAAAGTCAAGTATTTAAAAGTCTAGTTTATTTTTAGATGTATTTTGTACATTTGAAATGAGGACCCAATTTTATTTCCTCCTAAAAGTGAATCACCGGTTATCTTCATTTATTGGGTAAACCATTAATTATGTTTTTTCTTGTTGGAGAGTAGACTGTTGCCAAGACAAATATATGAATGGACATAAGAATGAAAAGAATAGTGGGACAGAATAAAGAACTAAAAATGTATACATATATATAGTCCATTATTGTGTCAATATTTTGTCATTTTTATATTAACCTTTAATATCTGATTTGGAAAAGGTTCCTTGCACTATTCTTTTTTTTTTTTTTTTTTACTGGGGATTGAACTCAGGTCCTTGAGCTTTCCAGGAAGGAGGCAGAACCACTGAGCTAAATCCCCAGCAATTCTTTTTCCAACTGTATGTATCCTCCCTTAAGAGTTTAAAAGTTATCTTGCAAAATTCCAGAATAATCCCATTGGGATTTGAGATTGTCATCGTATTATAATAGTAGCAGGCTCCAATTCTTTGAACATTTTCCAATAAACTTATTTTATCAATTCTTATTTTTAAACTTTTGATAAATAAAGTTTCAGAATTTATGTAGTCTTCTACAAATTATGTATAATTATCTTATCTTTATTATACTTGTGACCAAATATAATTGGTTATATCATATTTTTATAAAATTTAACTGCTTAATCAGGCATAGTGTAATCAAGCTTCTGTCACTGTTATTTCTGATTAGCTGTTCATATAGAGAAAAAGTAACTGTTTTATATGTTATATATAACCATTTTACTAAATTTCTTATTAACTCAAACAATGTTAGCACAGTGTCAGCTTTCTTAGGTATGCAGTCATATCATGTAATCTTCAAATAGATATTTTTCATGTCTTCATTTCTGATATTTGTCATATATGATATTTAGATTTATTGTACAATAATGTTATTAGTAAACATCCCTTTTAGTTCCAGATTTTTATAAGTGGCTACTATTTCACTATTCAATATGAGGTTTGCTGTTGATTTTTGCATATTGTGTCTTTCATGTGTAAGTATTGTTTTCTATTTGTATTTACCAAGAATTTCACTTCGGAATTTACAAAGTACTTGTTCAACATTTATTTATATAATCATAAGTTTTCTATAATTTAGTATGGTATAAAATTATATTAGAGCTATTAATGATGATCCATCCTTTATTTTAGGAATTAAACTTGTTTGGTCATAATGATAGCTTATTACTCTTTAATACACTGCTGGGTTCAATTTTCTAAGACATATTTTAACTATAATCTTATATCTATAGTCATTAGTGATTTTAGTTTGTAATTTCTTTTTTCTGAATTGAGGTTTTATGCATAGTGCTGAGATTTTAAAGATGAACTCTTCAACCTAAAATTTTAGATTGCTAAGTAGTTTTTGATTCTAAAACGGACATAGTTATTTTATAAAAAGTAGAGTTCCAGTTTAATTTGTGTTTGGTCAGGTCAGTTTTTTTCCCTTTTCGCTTGTCAATTTTGATTTTATCATTTTCCTAGGAAATTATTCATTTTCTTGGAATTTCAAAATCTATTGCCACTTAGTATGGTGTATATTTATTTTTTCCTCTTTATTTTTAATCACATTTGCCAAAGATTGGCCTCTTCTCTCCATAATTTAAAGAACTTTCTTTTTCTTTTATTAAATTCTTCTTTCATTTATTTATTTCCTTTTTAAAATGTTGGCACTTGAGCTTCTTAGCAAGATTATGGAGAGGTAAGTGAGGCCTCTCCTTAAGTACAAAATTTAAGGGAGTGCCAAAAGCCTGGTGACCCAGACAAATTATGCTTTATGCACTACCTTAGTAAAATAAAAATTAATGCACAAAATCCATAATGGATCAAATTTTTAAATAAAGATAGGATCAGTATTACTGACTTTTCTTTTGCCTCAGGCTTTAATGTGGCTTAAAACAGCACTTTTCTTAGTTCATTTATTTTTAGGCTTGACAAAAGCCTTTCAGAATCTGACATTTGCAGACAAGCCTATGTTCTCTGTACTAGGAAACCCCTCTACTAATCAGTTGAAATCCATCATCTTTCTTTTAATGAAAGCTTATGAAGAATATTTTCTACTTAAAAACGACCAGTTGTGGATACAATCATGCCTTTAAAAGCTTACATCTTGAAAAAAGACATAGATACAACTATGGAGTGTTTAGGCTATGTTGAGGAAAAAGAAATCAGAGAGAAGATTATCTCGTAAATAATACCAGGCTTGAAACTTTACTGCTTCTGGAATAACAGCTAAAATCACCCAGGTGGTGCAGTAAAGTGAGTTAACAGTGCAATTTAGTTTACATATTTTCCTAGTCTTATAGATAATTTTAGAGAAAGCCACAATTACGTATTGACATTTTTTAGCCTGTTAATTTTCTATTGCATCTCTAACTTTTACAAGTCAAAATGTATGTACTACAAGATCAAAGATTTTTTAACCACCTAATATTCTTTCTAGTGAAAGGTGCTGTGTAAAACAAACAAAAAAGAGGCCTAGCTTAAAATAGGTCATGGAATTTAATTTAAAACAAAAACAAAGCAAAAAACCCAAAGGCAAACTGTACCAAAAATGATTATTTTAGGCTTGTAAGTTTTAGTGAAAATTATTGCAGTGATATTAGGCATCTTAGCTAAAATTATTATTGCTCAAAAGTTTAAGATCATTGCATTCCCTTTCATGTAGTTCCTGTGTGACCTTTCTCCTGTCTAGAGATTTTTTTCAAGTCAAATAAATTGGTCTGAATGTCTGAATAATTTGCTCTTCATGTATACCATTATTCATTTTTAATAATGATCACAATCTTGTGTATATTTAAACCTATAATATAATTTTTAAAACATGAATACAAATTTAGGTTTAAATGGCTCGCCTTAAATCTTGAGATTAATCAGCAGTCAAACCTCGATGAGCTCCTGGGTTCATCCAAATTGTGTTTTCATTGTTCTCCAGCAAAGTACAGTGTTATCGTGTGATAAAGATGAATGCAGGCAGTCAGTCAGTAACCTGTGATGGCAAACCAAGATCTGCAGAATCCTAAAATGAACTAAAAGATCGCAGGACTGCTCCTGAGGGATTTACAGTCTGATGGGAGTGACAATGTATGAATTAACTACTTGACTTCCAATAAAACTGTGTGTCATCGAATGACATTTAAACAAGTGTGTAGCTATATATTAGGGGTGAAAATACAGCCCTATATAAAAACTTACTGGTTTAATTCATTTTACAAGTATCTGAATGGCTAAGAGGGGCAAAATATTAGGCACAAAAATATTTTTCCTAATTATTTTGTAATCTAATTGTATATCCTAATTTAGGCTAATTTGCTCACCCTAGATTGCAATAAGATGATTAATATAGCATATTTTATTTTTAAACTGTTTTTTTCCCCCTCTCCTTTTTTGTATTGGTTATCCAGATTAATGGGTTTCATTTTTGCCGATTCATACCTTCACATACTTCGATCATTTTCACCTCCCCATCACCCCTCATGCCTGCCTTCCTCCCTAATTTTATACTTTTGAGGGGGTTGAATGTTTATGTTTTTCTCATGTCCGTCCCACAATAACCTACTGTTATATCCCCTCCTCCTTTCTGTTATCCCTTTCTTCATGTCTAATAATATTCTCCTTTTTATTTTCGTGTTCTCTTTAGATTCCACATACAGCATTAAGGAGAGAGTGCAATATATATCTTTCTGAGTCTGACTTATTTCGCTCAACATTAGATCCATCCATTTTCTTGCAAATGACAGAATTCTGTTCTTCCTTGTGGCTGACTAATGTGTATACATTCGACATTTTCTTTATCCATTTATCTGTTGATGGGCATCTAGCCTGATTCTTTATCTTGGCTATTGTGAATTATACCACAATAAACATGACTATGCAGTTGTCCCTATAGTATGTTAACTTTAATTCTTTGGGGTATATACCAAAAGCAATCAGTATAGCTAGAACAAAATGGTAGTGCTAGTTTTATGATCAAAAAATACAGAGAATTTTTTTTAAATTTTACAATAAAAGGTATATTGTCATTAATCCCCTTTAGTTCCCACCCGCTTGCTTCCAACACATGTATCCCATCATTCTTATCACTGAAACAGCTCTGGAAGTCTTCTTTCAGGAGTGTCTTTACTTGAACTGTCATGGCTGCCTCCATGTCCTGAATCAATTCAAAATGTTTAAATTTCTCAGTCATTTTAACAAAGAACCAGAGTTGCACAGAGCCAGAGGCAGTATATAAGGTGAATGAATATGCCTTATAATGTTTTATTATAATATTTTATATAATGGTTGATCAACAGTGTGGCACCAAAAACTATGTAAAATATTTTAAAATGTATTAGAGTGAAAGACACATTGCCTTTAATCTCCCTCAAAATACCAAAACTACTCCCCCTTGCTTCAAACACACTTGCCCATTTTTCTTGGAAATGTGTCTCTTACTGTAATAAATTTTTAAAGTTAAACATTCACTGTAGTTTTCAGTCACCCCTAGTATATTTTAGGAGCCTCTATATTTGTTTTCATTGTGCCTTATACTAATTTACAAGGCCACAAAAAAAAATGTGAGCTCCTTTTTTCCCACATCCTCAACAACATTAATTTTTAAAAGTATTTTTTGGTGATAACAATTCTTATTAGAGTGAGAAGGAGTCAAAATGTAGTTTTAATTTGCATTTCCCCAATGGTGAAAGATATTGAATATTTTTTCATATACTCATTCGGCATTTGTACTTCTTTTGAAAAGTGTTGCTCAGTTCACTTGCCTGTTTATTCATTTGGCTATTTGAATTTTCAGTGTAAAGTTTTTGAGTTCTTTATGTGTTCTAGATATTAATCTGCTATTGGAAAAGTAACTGATAAAGATTTTCTAGCATTCTGTAGGCTGTCTCTTCACTCTGTTAGATGTTTTCCTTGTTTTGCAGAAACTTTTAAATTTGATGTCCCATTTGTTGATTCTTGCAATTATTTCCTGTTCTATTGTCATTCTATTTGGGAATACATAATAAAAGCCTTAAAGAAAGAAAATTTTGAAGGACTGTTTCTCAGTAGAGTAAAGGCCATATTGACAATCTCAGCCAATATCATGCTGAGTGGCGAAAAACTAAAAACATTCCCTCTCACATCATATACCAGGCAAGGATGTTCACTCTCACCACTACTGTTCTACATGGCTCTTGAAAGTATAGCTAGGGAAATTAAGCAGGAGAAAAAAAGGAAAAGGTTACAAAAAGGAAAGGAATAAATCAAGTTATTCTTGTTTGTAGTTGATTTAATTGTGTACTTAGAAGACCTTAAATAATAGCCAAATCAATTCTAAGCAAAATAGGCAGGACTGGAGATAATCATACCTAATTTTAAATTATATGACAAAGCCATAAAAACAAAAACAGCATGGTACTAATATAAAAATAGAAATTTAGACCATTATAATGGAATAGAGGAAATAGAAATAACCCCAGACTACTATAGCCTTATAAAGGAGCCAAACAAAACAAAACAAAACAACAGCAACAGCAACAACAATAACAATACACACAAACACACACACACACACACACACACACACACACACACACACACACACTTATAGCCTTATAAAGGAGCCAAACAAAACAAAACAAAACAACAGCAACAGCAACAACAATAACAATACAAACAAACACACACACACACACACACACACACACACACACACACACACACACATTGGAGAAAAGAGCCTCTTACTGGGAAAACTAGATATCCACTTGTGTAACATTGAAGCTAGATCCTTATCTCTTCTGTTGCAAAAAGTCAATTAAAAATGGATCAAAGTCCAAGAGATAAAGCCTGAAATGTGGAAACTGCTAAAAAAAAAAACATGAGGAAGCACCTGAAGCCATAGACACAGGCAAAGACTGCCTAAGGTAGGGATTTTTAAAATAAAAATTGAATAACAATATTAAATAACATACACTAAGCGAATAACCATTAGCAATAGGTGTCATTTTTTCAATATGTCTGTATTGAACACAATAAGAAAAAAATGGAATGTCATCTTGTTCCCTGTAGCAAAATAGTTCCTTACTCTTATTTATTGTCTACTATTGGCATGGAAGTTTCAGTAACTAAATGGTGCATTGAAAAACAGTTGCACATTTTCTTTCAGCAGACTCTCACAGTGCCTTGAATTCTGTGGTGCTGCCATCATCTCTTGTCTATTTCTGAGCTTCCTTTTACATCTTCCATGCACAGCTTCTCCTCTGTCTCTGGCTTTGAAAAAGTCCATGCATTCTCACACTTACTTACAGTTGACTTCTAACACACCTTTAGACTTGACCTTTCAGACTCCAGCATTTCCAATTAACATCTAAATATTTCTTCCTTGCTACACATATTCTACCTTCATCTCAGCCACTGAACTAAAACATCTTGCCTTTTAAAAGCCAGCATCACCTTCCAATACCCTTATCTCTGTCTGTGTAACAAAGGTGCCTTCGGCAGTCATGCAGGTTGTACTAGCACTTGGCTGATGTGTTAGTGAGAACTGAAATTATATTCACACGTGAATGTTTAAGCACAGAGCTGTGTCAGTCTTGTGAAAGGTCTCTTACCACTTCCTCCACCTAATTCACCCAGTGATGGCCCATATATGTGCTGAAGGCCCTGAGTGTGATCACCTTTTTTACCAAGTCATCCATTTCAGAAACTCAAAGTCTTCATCTTTCTTTCTTCTTTCACTCTCCCAAAATACATCATGCTGAGTTCACTGCTTTCTTTTTATCCACATTGCCAGGAGTCCAGTGCAACCTAATGCTTTATCTCTGAACTATTTTCATTTCATCAGTTCTCTTCATTTAACTCTTCCTCTGCATCTTTTTGCTACTGGGGATTTCTGTTCCTTAAAACACAAGTTTATCTTGTCATGTAAAGGCTCAGAAATCTCAAGGATTCTCTTTTTCCCATATTATTAAGTAAAAGCTCCTCAACCTGTCATTTATAGTATATATCAATGATACCTGTCATTTATGGTGTCTTGTGCCTCATAAGCACTCAGTAGGTTTTTGTCAATTCATTAAATTTAAAATCTTATAAAATAATGTTCCCAGTGCTCACTGCCCACCTAACTCCAGCTAAAATCTCCTGTACTTACCCTAGGCACCATTATGTGCTCAATACTTACAGAATCCATCCTTAACTTTGTTGTCTGCATAACCTTGATGTTGCTGATGCATTTGCCTTGAGCACTATCCACACAAAATGCCAGCAAGTCATTCCTGGACCCACTTTCCAAATACTTTCTATGTCCCGTCTGTTAGGGGACAGAATGCCTTTCCCATTTATTTTGGCTCATTTATCATGGTCTGTTCTTGTGTTAGTCATCTTTGGGTTTGCTCCTCCTGCTAAATGTTAAGCATTTTGATGTTAACAATGCTTTATTACTTATCAATGCCTCCTTCTGAGCCCCAAGTTTAAGGAAAAAAATGTGCATAGCCATACTCAGTTATGGATGTGCCAAAAGACAGGCTGACTAGCTATTTGATTTTTCAGGAATGAGATACCATCCCAGAAAACTGGAAAGAAAAATAAATGTTTATTTAGGAGGTTTGTTTTTAGTTTTCTCTGACAGCAACTACACCACCAGAATATATTTTGCACCACTGAGTTTAATGCATAAAATACAAAATTGAAGTATCTCTGTCAGAACAAAATGGCTAAAGGAGAGGGGGAAGTGGGAAAGGTAGGGGAAAGGAAATAAGGGCAGAGACAAAAATAGGAAAAAATAGAAACAGAGTCTTTGTAAATAGGTAAGGGTGAAGAGGGTGAAGGGAAGGCGGGGGAATGGGGAAAAATAAGAACTAAGATACATCATGTAAAGGTGCAAGACCCCAATGATGAATGTAACTGTATTGTTTGCCTTAAATGTACCAATAAACTTAATGAGAAAAAATTGAAATATCTCATTCCTTTTATTTTTTTATAGAAAGATGATGAATTCCAGGAGCATGAAAAAATTCTGTCTCCAGATTTTCTCTCAACTGTACAAATCACAGATTTACTAACAGAGAATATTGATGGAGTTCAAGAGTAAGTACTTCAATATCACAATTAAATATAGATCAGTTCTAATTCAGTTATAAATGAACACGATATACTATTTATTATACATGTTAAGCTTTTTTACTGTGCACTGAAATACTTCCAGACTCCAAAATACAAAATTGAAAACTGACTTTTTGCCCTTCTTGACAGTCTTCTTAATGGGAGAAATACATTGCAAGCAAACTTGTTAATATTTACTAAGAATACAGATTTATTGTCAAAGCAGCCTCTAGTGTATGCCACCTTCTCTTTCATTCATAAAACTGTCAAAATGCAAAACAAAAATGTGTTTTCTTGCTGTACTTTCTGTAATATTAATAATTGATACATCTTATTATTTTGTAATTCCTGGATATTGGCCATCCACTTGTGATTTTGATCAGGCATGAAGGTATACTAAATATTCTTGATTACATGCATGTTGCTTAAAAAGATAACTGAGTTTATAGGAAATAATTCATAGGTACATCTCACTTTATTTCTATAATACATCATTTATTTAGAACACTAGTCAGTTATACTAAACAACGCAATTACTTAAATGTTGTTTCTAAAAATGACCCATTTAAAAAATTATCTCACTTTATAAGGAAAGACTGATTGGCCATAATGTGTGGAGAAGGGGGATGGTGTGATGCGCAGGACCACAGTGCCCTGCTGTTTTGTCTCTACAGTCCAGTCCTCCAGTACTCTTTGTCACCCAAGCACCGTGCCCAGCACCATAATGAACACACAGAAAATGACTCTGTGAATAGTTATCATTGGCAAATCTTACAAATACTGTGTAAACAGGCAGTTTACTACTGAGAAAGAAATATGACAAATGTACTGGCTGGAGGTGAAATCTGAGAAGGGAAAGCTTATCGTGAGCAGGAGCATAACACTTGCAGGCCTTTTCCCAAGATGCTCTTCGCCCCTAGGTCTTGCAAACTGCTAGGGCCCACTGACCTGCAATTTGGCCATACTGCTGGCTGACTGCATCTTAGTCGGTGAATTAAAATCTGCAGTTCTTAACCAAGTATCTCATGGCAATTTTATCATTTTTTAATAAAAAATGAATGCTCACTGGGAATTCTGCCTCTATGTGTGAGAACTGATAAAAATGCATTCCTCTCTCGTTTGTTCCATGTGTTTTTATGTAAAATACTTTCTGGTTCCACCTATTCCAAGTGCTTTTGATCATTGCTACTCAAAACAACAGATAGTTAATATTAGGCAAACATAATACAATTGAAATAACGTATCTTAATACAATGTACATTTTATTTACATTATTAAATAAAAGATGTTATATTAAACCAAGTAAGCTTAAAGATGATGTTGCTCTTTAGAAGTATTTCTTACCATATTGTAAGTTGTTCTGTATATTGTACTTTATGTGACAGTGTATTTTTCAATTATTGACTCCCTCTTGATGTTATTTATCTGAACTGTGAAAATATTTTTAATATTTAAAGGAGGTGAGGTCTAGGACAAAGTAAATGGTTGATACAGAAGGTGACAGAGAACTTAGTGGGGTTCAATAGGAGGAGGATTTTTTAAAACTGTCTCATTAATATAAAAATTACATAAAGTCATCTCATCTATGGATAAATAAGGTCAATATTATCTTAGGAGCCATGTCTTTGTCATTTCCTTGTTTTTTTATATCGTGTTTTTAACCAGTAATTCTGAAATATTTGCAAAAATCACCTTTAATTTCAAGCAGCATTGTTATAAATAGGGATTACATGCTTTTCAAATGATAGAATTTTTTTTTTTTTTTTTTTTTTTTTTTTTTTTTTGTTGTGGGGTTTCTGGGTGT